CTTTGTCTTGAAAAGTAACCGCTGGCTGGACAGGCTGGACAGGCCCACTGCTAGTCCAAACCAGCCTTCGGTGGGTCGTGGAATTGCTGAAATTTTGTGACACGTTTGGCAGCTTCTGTGTGTGTGTGTGTGTGTGTGTGTGTGTGCGCGCGCACACATGTGCGTGTGTGCGTGTGTGTGTGCGTACATACATGTACACTTACAGAAAGCTAGATCGTATGAAAGCGGTGCGTGACGCACTAAGCAGTGGAGAGATCACCAGCCAGATCCAGGTACAGTTTATAATGTTATATACGTATGCAATTGCCATATGTCTGGTTGTAATACCGGGTGGAGCCGTTCCCACCCATCCATGATGGTGCACTCCCCGGTGAACATTTGCAAGCAATCACTGTACATGAGCACGTGTGTTTGCTTGCTTTCTTGTACAGTCTACACCTCTCAACTTTCAGCTGCAAAAACAACAACTGCAAATCATCAAGCACTACAAGTATGTTGCCATGGTTACGTCTAGAGCTGCTACACATGCTTGCTACACGCTCCAGTTGGTGTGTGATAGTGCTTGAATGGTGCGGCGGGAGGGAAGGGGGCGCGGCGCAGCGGGGTGGGGCGCTGACTTTACGGATGTGCAATGCTCTATTTGTGTAAATTTTGATACTACTGCTGTTCTTCTGCAATACCATCATGATTGTGTATGTGGACAGCATGGCTACTGGTGCAATCCACCCTACCATAGTACCAAGCAGAGCGCATGTTTGTTGTGAGATAGGCCGTATTTTCGGGAGTACATGTTTGTTGTGGGATAGGCCGTATTCTCGAGAGTGCATGTTTGTTGTGGGATAGGCCGTATTTTCGGGAGTACATGTTTGTTGTGAGATAGGCCGTATTTTCGAGAGTGCATGTATAAGCTGCACAGGAGTTCAAGCTGCACCCAGATTTATTGACACGAAATACAGACATCGGCCCTGTTTATTACCATTACTTTGACCGTCGTAGTATAAGCCGCACCGAAGTTTTTTGGATGAATTACTAGCGCTTTTAAAGTGCAGCTTACCGTCCGGAAACTACGACAGTACGCTGACACTATACGCCATAGACAGTTGAAGAACTGAGCAGTGATGTCATTACTATCTCATCGTGTTTCTTTCTGTTTGCTGCTGCAGGGCACAGATCAGCAATGACGTCATCGAACGACATCACCTGGAGGGCATTAGCAATTCACACACGGTGTATGCGTCTCTTGGTGTAGTGCATCTGGTGGAATTCCAACTCTACAATCCATACACCGTTCCCACGGCGTACAGTATTGTGTTTGATGACCCGGAGCTGGAGTAAGTCACCGCATGCATGTGGGAGTACTTCATGCAATCCTGCTGCATGACTGTGCTATAGTTGTATTTGCTCCAGTTACATGTGACCCAGTTGCATTTGGCATTGCTGAGAGCACTACTGCTGCAAGCACTCCTGCCACAAGCACTTGACATGCTGTGCGTTCGCTTGTTTCTGTCTGTGTGTATTTACACCTATATTCGTGTACGCACACGTGTGGTTGCATGCATGCATGCACGTTCAGTGTGGTAACAGACAGCAAGGAGTGGAGATTTCTGAAGGACAAGTACAACATTAGTACTCGTAAGTAGTCTACCACAAATAATATCAAAATGCCAAAATTTTACATTTGTCATTCAAATGTGTTTGCATGCCCTTCGGCGGATGAGCAATGATAGTACTAGTTTCAAACAATAATTAAATTTGTTTTGAACTCGGGCTCTGAGCCAATAGTAGACTTGTTTTCTTAGGGGGTACAGTGTGAATTTTACATTCCCGAAAATGTCCTATTTTCTTGTTCTGCTAATCAATGCAGCCTTGGAGGAGAACATGTTTCTGTCGGTGAATCAGTTCCAGCAATCATCTAGCACCAACACCGGCATCACCAGCAGTGGTGACACCACATCAAGACGCAATCCCAACAACGGCACAACAACCACCACCACCACCACAAGCAGCGGTGGCAATGCTGACTCAAGCACGGCCGTTTCGTCGGTCGGTTGCTCCAAACACGTGCTGTTACGCGCTAGGGAAACACTGCATATCCCGTTCAAGTATTGCTGGAGAGATTGCAGCCAGGTAAAGACTCAGGCTCGTGGCCCGCATGGTGCACAGGGGGGGGGGGGGGGGGGGGAGGGGGGCATGCACCCCCCCCCCCCCCTGAAAATTCCGACCTAGGTTCAGCATTCACATAATGACCATACTATTTGACATGCACCAGCCATCCCACACACATGCAGCCATGCACCTCCCCCTTAAAAGGGGGACCAGCTACGCCCCTGAAGACATGATTGACTGGACGGTGGTTGGTTGCATGTAGAGTGGACCATGGGAATTCCCCTGACTGGCGAGTCTTGAAGGCTGGAAGCAGGGAGTAAAAAATACCGGTATTTTACTACTCCCTGGCTGAAAGTATAGCATTGGGTTGTTCACTGGCACTGGGTTGATATAATTGTTTTCTTCATTTTCATTTTCTCTTTGTATTGCTGCTCCCCCTAAGGATGGGCATCATGACGTACAGAATGCAACCACCGCCACTACTCGACTACTGGGCAAGAAAACCATCAAGGTATTCTAGTGAATCATGATGAGCACCGTACTTGGGCTGTGATGTGTAAGAATATTAATCGCGAGGTTATAATGCACACTATTTTCGATGTGACGCCCAATTTCACGTCAAATTTGGAGTAGAACTCCTAATCTCGGCGTGAGCTGCAGGTCACTCACGTTGTTTTTTGACTCGTGAGCCAAATTACGCGAGCTGAACGTTCGCGTCACGTCAGAAATAACGTGCATCTTAACCTCTCTAATATTATAATGATCACCTCTGCTCTCGAAATCTTGAGTTTTTTCAGCTCTCGAAACGTCAACATTTTCATATTATCTCCTGCATTTTTGTATTGTTTGGAAAAGTTTGCAATAGTTGGCTATCAGCCTTCTTTTCACATTCTGTTGTTATTGGCAGTCAGTTGACGAAAGGGGTGAAACGAGTATCTATTTTGACCAATCGATCACTCATTCATAGTATTCGATCGAGTATCCGATTATTTCGAGTATTTTATCAAAATTCAAAAGCGCTACGAAGTAGATTTGTGAGTTCTCGACCAATTCGGAAGAAATTATCTGTGAACATAGAACAAAAGCCGCCAACGTCTTGTACAGAGTGTAAAGTAACGATTTTCACCAGTACTTTCATTATCTCATAACAAACTAACGTTACTTGCCGTGGTGATCGCATCGTCCAAGTCATAAAAAACTGACTCAAAGGCATGCATAATGCATGCATACCAGTCGATGAGTGGTACAACAGAAGTTTTTGAAAAAAAAATAGAATTATTATTATAGGCTTTTCCGCGTTGGCATCGCCAAGCAAGCTTGGCTAGCCTTCGCATAAGCTGCTCCATGATGCTGAGACGAAACAATGAATGCATGTATATACGATCTAGGACAGCACCAAGGTTGAGGGTATTTTTGAAGGAAGCTGCAAGTTGTGTTGAGGAACACAAAGTCGCAAACTCTACGAAAGTAAACTGCAAGAAATGTTTTGGGGTTGATTTCATGATTATTCATGATTATTGTAGTCACTGTACAATAGAATGCCAATACTAAAAAACAAAACAAAAAAACGATCGAGTGCAAAATTTCGAATACTCGCTCGTTTGAAATTTTCGAACGAATACTCGAATATTCGAACTAATCGTTTCACCCCTAGTTGACGAGCCAGGATATCATGGTGACTGAATACTATGCAATGCTATTTTAAAAGCCCATTGTGCATTACCAAGTATGGAAGGTATGAGTAATGCATGTGAGTACGCTGGGATCAGTAATGCTCTGCACAACACCCCGCATGCCCATGCCCGGGTGGCTGTGTGGGGTGGTTATGGTACAAATTACGTCATTGCAGAATGGGCTTATACAATAAAGGGAACATCAGTTACTTTCTCTACTGGATAGTCTTCCAAGGTAGATCCAGTCATGTCTTGGACTGCATGTCAAGTCAACTGGGAACTAAACTTTGCCATGGAGATATGAATCAAGTCAGGATATGCTGCGGCGTTTGCCCACCTCTAACTTGAGTGCAGTGATAAGGTGGTAAGTGTGTGCACTTGTGTGTGTGTGTGTGTGTTTGTATGTGTGTGTGTGTGTGTGTGTGTGTGTGTGTGTGTGCATTTGTGTGTGCATTTGTGTGTGTGTGTGCATTTGTGTGTGTGTGTGCGTGCATGCGAGCTTGTGTGCGTGTGTGTGTACATGCATGTGTGCATGCATTCGTGTTTGTGTGGCTGTGTTCAGGTGACTTTCATGACTGAGAAATCTCGATCTCCCATCGCCATTCTATCCCTGACAGTGGTATATCAACCCGCCGTAGTACACCACACACTGACCTTCCACCACGGAGAATCCTCCGTCATGAAGAGATGTGTGCGAATATCACCTAGCTTGGCAGCTGCTACATCATCGTCTGCAGGAGTGTCTTCAGCGGCGGAGCAGCAGCGACTGTGCACGTTTTGCAATGCGCCTGGCGTAGACACACAAGTCCTATCCGAGGTATTTTACCAGTGTGTAGTCAAAATGCTGTAACCAAGGGTGTATAAGGCCCCCAAGAGTGTGCAACTCTGCATATGGGGTCTCCGACGGCAAAAACTCACATCACGTGTCCCAGGTACGTTTTGTACTATGTACACCTAAGGATAGTGTGCGCGTGTTCTGAAAATTTGCCACGGTTATGCTGGCGAGTTGCATGTGCGCAGTGAGTTTCTGCAAGGGAGTGCTGGTATTATTACTCCGCTGCTCGCTAAGAACGGGCTGGAAACGTACAACTGAGACACTACACCACGGGATGTGAGTCTTCGCTGCCGGCGTACCCCGTGGAAAGGGTATCAGGAGTTGCACACTATTGGGGGCTTATAATTATACTGGGAAAAGAATTCGGGTGGACACACCCATTCCCATAGCGCTGCACAAATAACGGAACTGGTTCGGATGTGATGTACAGCGCTATGGGAATGGGTGTGTCCACCCGAATTCTTTTCACAGATGAAGCTGCAGGAAGCCTCAGCCCTTCTTTATAATTATACTCTTGGTGCAATGTTGCAGTCGACAGTACTCTCCATAAACTACAGGACTAGTTATGACCATCCCAACCCCCACCCCCACCCCCCACCCCCCACCCCCCACCCCCCCACCCCCACCCCAACCTGCACCTCAACGCCCACCATCACCAGCAGCACAGAGCCCAGCATACCAGATAGCACAGAGCCCAGCATACCAGACAGCACAGAGCCCATCACCACCAGCCCAGCATACCAGACAGCACAGAGCCCATCGCCACCAGCAGCACAGAGCCCATCACCACCAGCAGCACAGAGCCCAGCATACCAGACAGCACAATCCTACACCATGGCCTGAGTACCATACACTTCTTTTCACACTAGCTTGTTGCACATCGCACGCCATCATGCAACACCATCCCACGATGTAAGTCTTGACAAACCGACATGCATTCGATTCTCTGTTTATGTACTACGAAATACGAGGTATCTCTCTTGTTGAACTCGGATGGTGAGCCAATTTAATTATGGAAGAAGGAGAAGGACAAAAATGTTACGAGTTATGACTAACTGTCCACCAACGTTACCAGATCATGTAACGTTACAGTCAGCAACTGACAACCTGACACAAAACTGACAACCTTCCCCTCTTGGACCTTTCCTAACCTGAGCCTTTCGAGTTGGAAGGTTTTTGGAAGGTTGTAGAAGTGTTGGAGCTAGGTGTCGGGTTGTTGAATGTCTCAGTACTCCTTGCCAGTATTGTGCCATTTAGTCGCATTCGCTGACTGTATATGATCTGGTCACGTTGGTGGACAGTTAGTCATAACTCGTAACATTGTTTGTCCTTCTCCTTTCTCACTCTTGTATTTGTATCCCCGTCCCGTACATTGCAGGAGTCTAGTCCAATCCAAGATATCTACTTGAAAGTACCGTGTGGTGCTGCACCAGCCACTACCTCTTTCATTGTCCTCTTGTATCGGTAAGTAAGCTTCGTTTACGCGCATGTACGTATGTCGTATGTGTGTATGTGTGTGTGTGTGTGGGGGGGGTGCATTTGGGCGTGTGTGTGCGTGTATGTGTGTATGTGTGTGTGTGTGTGTGTGTGTGTGTGTGTGTGTGTGTGTGTGTGTGTGTGTGTGTGTATGTGTGTGTGTGTGCATGTGCGTGCGCATGTGTGCGTGTGTGTGTGTGCGTGTGTGTGTGTGTTGTTGTTGTGTTCGCATGTTCTGCGCGATTGATAACCGACATGTATTCGTGTTCAACTGCCTGGTAAAGATTCAGTGAGGTGCCAATACCCCCTCCCCCCTACCCCACCCCACCCACACACCCACACACACTCTCTTGTCTGATTCGTGACTGCCATAGGTCTCTCTTGTTGTTGTTCTCTGTTGTCGCATTATTGCAGTGATGAATTCCTGATCACCCCCATTGCAAGATGGTTATGCCAAGTGCAGGCTGTACACAGGTAAGCACTATGCTATCTTATCTAACACAGTTAGCAGCTCATGCATGCATAATGAGAGAGCAGCTCAATGTAGGGTCTGGAGCTTGGGCCACGGGTGATGTTTTTGTTTTTTTAAATTACCCAACTGATATTTAGCTAAAATGATGTGGTAACACTGCATGCAAGAAAGGAAAAGTTGTCCTGTTTGCTCTCAAAGGAGTCATGTTGAATGCACAAGTACATTGTCATTGATGTAGCTTGCAAGTGTGCATATTACTGCTGTGTGTGCTGTCAATCCTACATTGTATGCGCAGAGTTGATATCAGTGGTCAGATGTATCAGTCATCTAACACCGCTGTGGTTCTGAGAGGCTCAAACGTCGCTCACAACGTCCAGTGTTTTGTCTCCAAGCCTGTACTGCTGGAGGTAAGTGATGGTTTAGCTCTTTGGGATGTTCACTAGGAGAATACAGTGTTCAATACATACAATTGTGGATTCGTGTGTGTGTGTGTGTGTGTGTGTGTGTGTGTGTGTGTGTGTGTGCCAGCTAGTTCGGTTGGTAGGTACACGTATGCCTGATTGTGTTGGGTCTGTTGCCAACAGGCTCGGCTGCTTGAAGGTGTAATGTTGTACCTGCCACCTTTGTTGGTTCCAGGGTTCATATACTTTCTATTTGAAGTATACATACCTGTTAACCATGGACTGCTTCTGGCTAGATTAACTCTTGTGTAATCAATGGTACTAGTGAAGCTTATATCAGATCCACTCTGATTTAGCCACCCACACTAGTACCAAGTATTACCTTCACTGGGGGCAGGGGTACCTGCAGTTGGATCCCGGGACGGATACCCTGATGCCGCAGGGGAGTCGGAACCGGTGCGGCAGGTGCGGCCAAAGCCGCACCAATAATTTTCGATTTTTTTTTTTTACATTTCAACCTTGTTGATGGCTTGTCGACTCTTGTACAGGTACCATGTATTACATCGACAATGCGGTGTGTCATCAGCATGCATATTCTTATTTCTCATATTATTCTGTAGCGTTAAAATATGGCCTTTTAGGCCCAATTTTCAAATTTTTTCCCGGGGAGAACCCCCCCGACCCCCCTCTCTCACTTTCGCCGCACCAATGTCAAACTCCTTCCGACGCCCCTGTGCCGTCAATCCTTTTTCTGCACCTTGTCCTCACCCACTTACTGAGGTGTGGTGAGCCCATAAGTGGGATCATTTCAAGTCCACCCTAGTTTGGGGATTTCAGGGGGTGTCGGCCGCTGGGTTGTTCAATGGCCAATTGAGTCATCTTTCGAAGATTCCTTTTGAGTCTCTCTCCCCTCTCCCGGGGAGACCCACGTGACCAGTTTTGGCAGTGAGCAAGTACAAGTACAAGTGTATGTGTGTGTGTGTGTGTGTGTGTGTGTGTGTGTGTGTGTGTGTGCGTGCGTGTGCGCATGTGCGTGTGTGCGTACATGCGTATGTTTCCGTTGCTAGGTATGGCCCTCTGGATGTTTCTCATTGCCTGCTCAGTCAATAACAGACGTACAGCTGACGTTGAGACCGACCAGTGTGTGCAAAACAACAGCTATACTTAGTGTTGTGGGTGAGTGACCATCGTTCTTTGTCCAATTGTTTCTAACTGATGACCACAGTAGCCCGGTTTTCCTATGTCTTGTTGCTATAGCAATGTTAACTGCTGACTATACACTGCTGCTACATCATTAATTTTGTGTAATTATCTTGTTGCTATAGCAATGTTAAAGGGGAAGTATACCCTAAAATCAAATTTTCACCAGTTGTAGTCTTCGGGGTGCTAAGTCGAATGGTCTTGGTCCGAGGAAGCTGAGACGCTCCCTTCCTCCTTTATTCCCAATCGAACTCGCGCACTTCCACCGAAACTGGGCGACTCGGTGCGCCCTGCTAGATAGGGATTTGTATGCAAAATGTCACTAAAAGCGCCGTTTCCTTCTTATAAAAGCACGGATGACTGCAATTGGCCCATACGTTGTAGTCTTTTGGACGCTAAGTCGACTGGTTTTGGTCCGAAAAGGCTGCGATGCAGCGTTCGGCCCTTATTCCCAATCGAACACGGGTGAGTAAGCGGTCACGTGCTCATGCGTACACCAGTCGCCTGGTCACCATGCCTGCAGGCTACAATTTTCACATCAAGTTCCAACTCAAAGGTTCAAAGGTTGAACTCGAGTGACAGGAACGCTGCGACCATATTCAGTCACCATGGCAATCCTGAATTTTGCCCATTTGCAACTCTTGCTCTAATTATCGTGTTATTATGCCTTACTGATATGCTTGTTCATGTGTCTGGTTGCTATTCATGTATCGTGTTGCTATGCCAATACTAGATGTTGACCATGGCAACCTTGTTGCTATGTGGCAAGTGCACTGTAACTGTTTGCCGCCCACCATCACCAAGGTTACGCACGTCAAGATCCCCTCCACTGGCGGCAAGCACTGTAGAAAGGTAAGAATGCAGAGTGTGTATACGCGGCACGTAGACGTAGCGAGTGCACCAACAGTATGTATACGTACATGTAGCCGTTGAACAGTGTGTAAGTCCTCAGGCTCTAGGGGCATATCACCATGGTAATAGAGAGCATATCACCATGGTGATACATGTATATGAAGTCTGTACAGTCATATACGTACATGTATGAGGTATGCACACTGCCTTTTGGGGGAACAATATAGGATTATGTAGTCAAGCACGCTCAGGAGGTCATGATGGCTGAATCTTGCCCGAGCCTGCAGCCCAAGGGCCGTAGGCCCGAGGGCTGCAGGCAAGGGCAAGATTCAGCCATCAAGACAGACGGAGCGTGCTTGATTCGATTTCTTACAGCGCGAAGCAACCTATTAGGGAAGGTCAAAGGTCGAAAAATTATTCCCGAGATGACGTCAAACGGTCCTGAATCTCCCGAAATGACGTCAAACGGTCCTGATGGCCTGATTATGCCCGCGGCGGGAAGATGGCCTACTGGCCATGGCCCCGGCAACGATCACGTGTCATGTAAGAATGTTGATTTCATGTTGGCTTTACGACACGGTGTCCATGTGGATGCTTGTGTGCGTGAGCCCGCATGCTTGCGCGGGGTTCGTGCGTGTGAGTGTGGGGTGGCGTGTGTGTGTGTGTGTGTGTGTGTGCACGCGTGTGTGCATGCCTGTATGATCACCTCTATTCAGCAAATCAAATTCAAGAACTCGTACCCGGTCCGCAAGTCGTTCTGCGTCGCGACATCACGGCGTGATCTGCTGCACTTGAAGGAGACTCGTTTTGATGTAAGCTGGTCATACCTGTTCGCATGTGTTCACTCCGTAAGCCTTAGTTTGTCTCATGGAGAAGACGAGAACCGTTAGGACTACTGAAGACGAGAACCCTTAGAACAACTGTCTGTGCATAAGTACAGTACTGTCAGGTAGCGGCGAAGAACGACCAGGCTGCAATTTCACCAAGCACAACATAGCAATGTTTACACGGTGACTAAACACTGCGTAATTATACTGTCTGTAATACGTGGGAATATGAATGGTCTAGGCTAGGAGGCTAGGAGGCTAGGAGGCTGGGAGGCTTACCCCTTCCCCAGTTCTTCGCCCACCAACAGCACTGTAAGTCTTGCATATCCATTACTGAAGTGTTACACGGGAAGGGAAAACCCCAGAACACAAATGCAGTTGGGTTATTATTACAATTTTGTTCTTGGGAAGTGATTTTGATTGTTGATTTGGAGAACTTGACTTTCTCCTCACAATTGGTATGTGTGTTTGTTTGTTTTGCTTGTTCACGTGATGCGTTTGTGTGATCAGGTCCAAGGTAACCAGTCGCAGAGTCTTGCTCTGTCGTTTGTGCCCCGTCAGAAGAACGACAGTGCAGAGGTGCTGGTCTTCATCAACCTGGAGGATGGTGGCAATGAGGAATGTTTGTCCATCAACGTCACCTACACGTAATGGAACTGGCCGACCGCAGATTTAATAGCAACAGATATGGCCCGGTCCGGAGATTGAGTGATAGTAGTAATAGAATTTACGCCTGCACCTGACTCTTGCGGCGCTATGATACCCCTCAGAATTTCCCACCTTGCTCCCCTTATGTTCAGGCTGCCCGTTTTGGAGCCGTCAGTTGCCTGATGATCGTAGTAATATGTGAAACTCAGAGTTGCGACACAGCTTCCAATCTCTCTTGAGTAATATAATTGATTATTTTAATAGGGAGGGCCCTACCGTTAGCAAGGCAAATACCTGCCCATGGCCTCCTTGTTAAGATTGTAGTGAATCTGATTCTTGACATGAAATTGAGAGAATTCCTGGCATGAATGACACTGCGTATTTCCACGTCTCTAGATATGATTCCCGTGCCTCTGTATGCCACCATGAACCAAGCAGATGTTCCCCCTTTCCAGATATCGCCCAAGCAGGAATACCCTGTTTGGCGCACACCTACCTGTTGAATTTGCCCGAAATTATTTGGATTTGGTGCACATCAACGCTTGTACTGTGCGCCCTGCTAAAACAGAGCGGTTCCAGGCTGTCCAATAGAGTACTCAAAGCCAAAAGGCAGAGCTACAATGCTGGTCAATGAAATCCAGTCACGTTGCTCAAGTTTGCACCTTAAATCACTTCATAGCCCAGTGTTTGCAGGTCTATGGCTGCGCAACGCCCGGCACGCACTTGAGTGACGCGGCTGGATTTCATTGAGTGACACGACTGGATTTCATTGAGTGACACGACTGGATTTCATTGAGTGACACGACTGGATTTCATTGAGTGACACGACTGGATTTCATTGAGTGACACGACTGGATTTCATTGAGTGACACTGAGGGAAAATTTGAAAAAAATCCGTGGTTACCATGGACATTTGCCGCTGTGCGGGAGATTTGAGAGATTTAATCCACTCGATGAAAAATCAGCTCGAGTCCTCCGGTTTATAATCTGAGGATTGTTCCCTCAATGTGACCGGCCCCTAACCTAAAATAAAAGCGACCTAAAATTCAACATTGCCATGCCCCACAGTGTGCAAGATGAATTTTTTGGATCTGGAAAACTGTTTTACCGAAATGTTTGCGCTACCGTTGATTTTGGGAAATACCGAAAATATTACACCACCGAAAATTCCCGGTTTTGCAGTAAGACAAATCCCCTTATTCCACATGTGTGTGGCCTAGATGCTGTTATGATAGCCACTCACCTAGCAGGTACGCCCTTTCTGCTGCACATCATTAGTAGCTTGCTCGGTTGTTATTGATATACCCTACTGGGTGTGCCCCTACTAGTACAAGTAGTATTATTACTACTCCTGGCAAACTGCTTTTAACTTCCAGCATGCCATGTACAACTGCACGAAACCTGATTTGCTGAAAAGGTGAGATTTGTGCTGGGATTTTTCTTTAGACCTAATTGCAAGACGGTATGGTAATATCATGGGTACAGAAACTCGGTCACGTGACAAAGCTAACGGACTCCACAGGCACTCAGGCAACCTTGCGGCACTACCAACAAAGGAATGTCAGTTGATACCGAGAAAGAGAAGTGACTGTTGTGAGCAGGGAGTACTGTCAGCCTACAAATGTTCGGCATAATTTAAATTTCGGCCTGTACTGCTGTTGCCTGTATACATTACAATTATAGGACTCCAAACCTTGCAAAAGCAAATCTCGGCCGCAACAAATTTCGCCCAAAATGGCCGGGCTGAAAAAAGCCGAATATCTGTTGACTTTCAGTTGTGAAAGTGTTTTAAAATAGCAACGTTACAACGTACATGTATGTAGGGAGGGATGTATAATAATTGGTGGAACCATTCTTTTTGACCTTTGTGGTTACGCTCCGCCCTTGTGGTGTTGAGCACTGTTGAAACCTGGGTAAACCCACTTATGTAAAAATATTATTTTATATTTTTACTACTCCTTGGACTGGTTAATATGAGCGTTGTCTGTACCATCAAGAGTATATAACCCCGGGGTACAACAGCAAGGGGGTACAAAACCAAGGGAGTACATAACCCCGGGGTTACGTACTCTTGATTGTACAGACAACGCAGCGCAAGACACCACTTGGGCAAATTCGCTGCAGAACCCAAAGACAAGCTCACAGGTTATCTCCAGCACACGTAAAACGCAATGATCACTGCTTAGAAATCGTGGCGATAACAAATCCTCAATGCATTGTATGAGCATGACGGAGGAGGAAAAAAAGGGGGGGGGGATGGGGTTATCCTGATGAGTAAGAAACTAACAATATGTATATCAAGGCGAGAAATAAAGGTGAGGAAGACATTCAGGTGGTAAAGCAAAGGTTTTAGAGGGAGGGCAGAGACAAGAGAGTGTGTGCTTCAGTATGAGTGAGTGAGTGAGACAGAGACAGACAGACAGACAGACAGACAAACAGACAGACAGAGAGAGAGAGAGAGAGAGAGAGAGAGAGAGAGAGAGAGAGAGAGAGAGAGAGAGAGAGAGAGAGAGAGAGAGAGAGAGAGAGAGAGAGAGAGAGAGAGAGAGAGAGAGAGAGAGAGAGAGAGAGAGAGAGAGAGAGAGAGAGAGAGAGAGAGAGAGAGAGAGAGAGAGAGAGAGAGAGAGAGAGAGAGAGAGAGAGAGAGAGAGAGAGAGAGAGAGAGAGAGAGAGAGAGAGAGGCGCTAACAAATGCCAGTACATATGTGCACGATTTCTCAAAATTGTATTTGTAAAAATGTGATTCTAAAAGTTGACCTAGCGTGCATGTAAATACACCACAAGAATAGAAATCAACAAAAGAATCAGATCATAAAAAACTATAAATGAAGAATCTCTATGGGAACCATCATGACGGAAGGTTCGATGGAGGAAAATGGCTGAAATATCGCAGAAATAGCGCAAATCCATATTCCGGAATGTGGTTGCAAGAATTCAACACATTGATAGTTGGAAAATTTAAAGGCAGCTGCTCACAGTGTCTACCTGCTGTTAACAGTGCTGACAGTGCTGCAAATGCACAGTACCATCTGGGATACATGTCCTTATTGGCCACTTGCAAGCAACGACACTCATTGAGAGAGAGAGAGAGAGAGAGAGAGAGAGAGAGAGAGAGAGACGGAGTATCAACGGCTGTGTGTGTGTGTGTGTGTGTGTGTGTGTGTGTGTGTTTGTGTGTGTGTGTGTGTGTGTGTGTGTGTGTTCTGCTCAGCAAGAGCACTCCGACTTTGTACTGTTTTCCTCGACGTACTTGCCCAAGTCAAACGCCTTTCCTTTGCCTGCGTCGTCCTTAGCTTTCAGCGCGCGGTTTGCAAGCACCGATCTAGCCGTGATAATGAAGAGAGATCCGCAAGAAACAAAACACACGCAAACACACGAAATCAGTTACACACGCGTGTTCACAAGCAATGAAGACATACATTAACATGCACCATGCAAGAGCCATAGGGATATAGAGACACAGGGACATTGGGACATAGAGACACAGGGATATAGAGACACAGGGACATAGAGACACAGGGACATTGGGGCAAGGACAAGTGTTTCTCACCTAGCCACCGCCTCAAAAGCCAAGGAAACGTTGTCCCCAGTCTTGGCGCTCACCTCCAGGAAGCAAACCTTATGTTCCTGTGAACCACAACAACAGATTGAGAAACAGACATGCACACACACACGTTAGGCCACAGACTAGCATAGATTTAAGCTCACATCAAATACTAATAGAATGTTAGCCATGGGAGGCATCTGCGTTGCCACTCAGAATTTGACACTGAGTCACTCATTCACGACCACCAGACAACTTGAGGGATGATAGGGATGATAGGGATAACAGAAGTGTGGAAAACTGATTCGTAGATAACTGTGAAGTGTGGATTATGATGTGCGCGGATAAGCAATGTGCGGATAAGCAACGTGCGGATAAGCAATGTACGAATAAGCAATGTACGGATAGGCAACATGTGGATAGGCGAGTGTATACTATAGATGCTTGCACTGACCTGTGCTAGCTCTGCTGCGGCCTGATCATTCACTCTCTTTGAGGAGCTTAGATCACTCTATCACAATGCACACAAAAGAACAACACCATACACCATGCACACACGCACGCACACACATACACACAGACACACACACACAGACGCACACACATGCACACACAAACACGCACACATGAGTGATTTATTCATTTTTCACGCTTTCGCGCGGAATATTTCTTGGAGGTCACAGCGAGTTTTCCAGGCAGCTCATACGGTAAGACGGCAAACTCCCCGGGCGATCGCCAGGATTCGTAATCTTTTCGAAACAGACTGTAGGAGAAACACTGCGCCCCATAATCGCTATAACGTACTGTTGTTCACAGTCAGGCTCCAACGACAATTTCCGTTTTTGCGCCACAATTCCCACTTATAGACAAAGTGATATTATTTTAATACTAGGATCATTCAGTTGGTGGGAAAGTGCAGGCAGGCAGGTCACTATCAAGACTGGGAGGATTGTTTCAAGAACATCACTGGATACAAATTAATACACGTGATGCCAGCTGGGAAAGTGACAACATACAACAGCAGATACCCTCAAATCCAAGTCCCTGCTCAGTAGTTGTCACATTTGTCCTCGTCTCGGTGCCATTGTCTTTCATTATTATTATTTTTGAGCTGGGTATGTGATGTAAACAGAACATAAAGCAGCATACACCGAGCAGTTACACAATATTACACACACGCGCGCGCGCGCGCACGCGCACACACACACGCTCATGCACACACACGCGCGCACGCACACACACACAGTTGCGTATGCAGCCACCTCTATCATGCAGTATTCTGTGCTCGAGGTTCGTGGTTTCTCGTAAAAAAACACACACATACACACATACACACACACGTACACACACACACACACACCTTATTAGCGACCAATAGCAAGCTGACGTCTTTCGGGGCCATGTCTCTAACTGTCGACAGCCAGCCGTTCAAATGTTCAAACGAAGACCAACTAGTCATGTCATAGACAAGTAGGATTGCATCGGCGTCATGGTAGTATGATGCAGTGATACTGCGAAATCTCTCCTGTCCAGCCGTGTCCCAAATCTGCACAAGTACATACACAGACATACACACAGACATACACATACCGTACATAACATATTTCCTGGAGTGTACCACACTGGAGTATAAGCCACACTGGAGTATAAGCCACACTGGAGTACAAGCCACACTGGAGTATAAGCCACACTGGAGTACAAGCCACACTGGAGTATAAGCCACACTGGAGTATAAGCCACACTGGAGTATAAGCCACACTGGAGTATAAGCCACACTGGAGTATAAGCCACACTGGAGTATAAGCCACATTGGAGTATAAGCCACACTGGAGTATAAGCCACACTGGAGTATAAGCCACACTGGAGTATAAGCCACACTGGAGTATAAGCCACACTGGAGTATAAGCCACACTGGAGTATAAGCCACACTTGAGTATAAGCCACACTGGAGTATAAGCCACATTGGAGTATAAGCCACACTGGAGTATAAGCCACACTGGAGTATAAGCCACACTGGAGTATAACCCGCACTGGAGTATAAGCCACACTGGAGTATAAGCCACGCTGGAGTATAAGCAGTGCTGCCAAACCGTCCGATTTTTCGGACAGTGTCCGATTTTTGAAGGCTCTTCCGAAAACCGGTCCGAAAAGGGAAACGTCCGAAAAGCAGCAAAAATGTCGGAGATCATTACTTCCCTATGCAGAAGTCCTGTACTGTCACTTTTCAGCGCAACTGAAGGCACAAATCACTGTACATTTGCTTCTAAAAAGGCTAGCGCTTGGCTGTGGAAGTGCAAAGTAACATGCCTGGATCAGGCTGGATGGCATGTACGCTGACAGTCTGTACAGAGTCAGTGTGCGACCACACTCATCATTACAAAATTCATTCAATGTGAATGCATTGCGAGAGTTGGCAATCTCGGAGGGCCGGCTGTGAGGTTTTGGAGATGATGGTGGCAGGACAGTGCCCTTGTATTTTCCTGGATTTTTTGTTGTTTTTTGTTTGCTTGTTTATTCTCGTTTTTTTGCGTTTTTCACACATACAATTGTTTTCATTTTTTGGTGTTGTGTTCTAATCATTCACAAAATTCATGACAATTCCGGGGTTACCATGGCAACAAAGCGAATTTTCATGGTGTTTTAGGCGATATTTTGAATTCTCTGTAAAAAATTTGCCGAGGAGAAAATTCGCACCATGTGGCCCGCTTTGGCGGTGAAGGGTGTCCGATTTTGGGCGAAAATTATTTGGCAGCACTGTATAAGCCACACTGGAGTATAATCCGCAACGGCTTTTCTTGCATGAATTACTAATGCTGAAAGTGTGACTTAATTAAGCGGGATCCACAGAAGCTTTTTGGCGATGTGATGCGACATGATCTCCGATGACGTCGTGCGATGCGAACTCGCGAAATACCATTCACAGAAGAAGTCAGCGATGCAACGTCGCCTTGCTGATTTGGCGCGAAGTCCAATGCAGGTGAGTGCGTCACCATGGTATTCGCGTGGCTTGGTATAACTTTTACAAATCTACAAGCAACTCTTAACTTTTGTACAACTTTGCTGCAGGAAAGGTCAAAATCGTACACCACATTGTGTGTCACATCGCCAAAGTTGAGCCAAGCTCAACTTCTGCGATGGCCCAGTTGCGGCAGTTGTGTGAGCTGCGCAATGGATGCGACTTGGGGATTTCCCAGTTTTGCGGCCGTCGCATCGCAAAATGCTGCTGTGAATCCCACTCCTTTCCACTCCAAAAACAGTACTGTAAAACTACAGTAGTAGCCATAGCAACTTGTGCAATGCTACAGCAGTAGCCATGGCAACTTGTGCTGGGATTGCATCATTCAACAGCTAGCGAGACTGAAGAATTGACCACAGCTAATCGGCATAGCCTACACCACGTGGACATTTGTGAGTGGGTTTTTTTCTGGCCAGTGAATCCGCAAAAAATGTATTAACCACACTAACCTGTAGATGAAGTGGAGTTCCATCCAACGTCATCACTTTCGTCTGAACATAGAACATAATACCAGGCAACGCACGCATACACATGCACGCACACACACAAACACACACACACACGTGTGCGCGCACACACACACACCAGGGGCGTACGCCGCTCGCCTCCAGGAGTGGTTCCCATGCCACCTGATGAACCAAAATTCCACACAAATTCAATTGAAGTGCTATTTTTCGTATCCCACGGCCGGAGTTTCTGCATCTTCTCCTCAGACTGGGTGAAATTAACATCCACAAGCTGCTGGACGATGTCATTGCTACGCACTTTTGATTTTACGTTTTATGGATGTTTTGTTCAGCATGACGATTGCATGCAGTTTTGAAAGCTGCCTACAGGTTTCGAATCATCTGGAGCAAACATCACACTCGGCAAGCAGAAGCCACCATTGCACGCCGGTCAAAAGACTACCCAGGGTAACTCCTCTAATAGCAAGGATAGTTGAAAGTGGCGCTGTTTCCCATCCGTCTGGACAAGCACAGGAAATGAAATCCTTCGCCTTCGGTGGCGCACAATGATTATCGATGACGGAGATCTTTTCCGTGTCCGGCAAATTTCGGGGGACTGGATTCCACTGTGGACGTCGACGTTCAGAATATCCCTTCCAACACACTCCCATGTCATTGAAGTTAGTTTTGGATGATCCAGCAGCTTCCAACAACGGTCGCTCTACAGCTTCGCCGACGATTTCTTCCTCAACGCTGCTCGTTGCATGCAGACTTCGCTTGCAAGTCAGGTGCTGCGTCTGCATTCTCATCTATCGCGTGACCTTCGCCACTAGCACTGGCTACATGCTTTCGGCCTGCTGCTCAAAATAGCTCTGAATAGAGCTCCGGCCCTCTGGATGTCGACGCTTCATTTTTCTTTTCCACAAAGCGAAAGCATCGTCCGAAACACGACCAACTTTGTCAAAACAAACTGCAAAGGAAAATTTGACTCTGACTGAGATCGAGGAATCCGGCGATGTACCTAGTTGAACCCAGTTCAGTACGCTGTTACGACTTTCACACCTGGGCTACAGTCACCGTCCTCGGACCGTCAGGCGGACTCGCATTGCATGCACTTGCGCTGCTATAGCGCTAGTGCACTTGCACTGCGAGCGCTGGGCCTGGATCAAAAACTTCTCTGTACCCATATCGAAGTTTTTTTACTGGTTCCCGGGCATCCCGGGAACCGCCCTATGTACGCCCCTGCACACACGCACACACATGAAGTGCGTGGATGAAGGAGAACACAACCCCCCCCCCCCCCCCCCACACACACACATATCACCAGAAGTGGGTACACAGTTTCAGCTCGGACGGCAAAGCAGGAAAAGTGGAATGTACGGCTGGTGGAGACAACATACACTGTCCCGGCTGTAACAGTGATGAAGACAGAGGTACTGGAACAGCATGAATGCATCAACATCTGTGAACAAAATTAATTTTGCAAGCAGCAGCAGCACAACCACCATCAACAGCACATCAGCCAGAGCAGCACGACCATGATCAGCAACAGCAATAGGCGCAAGCAGAAAGAGAGCATTAAAATGAACACTTCAAAACACAAACATTTGAAAAGATACGCATACAAACCAAACACATATTATCGGACTGCGATGGATCTACAGCCGAGCTTACCCGAAAGTCAATTCCAACTGTGCTGATGAAATTACCGGCATGAAAAGCACCATCGTTGAATCTCACCATCAAACACGTCTTCCCTACAGAACTATCTCCTAGTAGAATGACCTGGCAGAGAGAGAGAGAGAGAGAGAGAGAGAGAGAGAGAGAGAGAGAGAGAGAGAGCGAGAGAGAGAGAGAGAGAGAGAGAGAGAGAGAGAGAGAGAGAGAGAGACAGAGAGACAGAGAGAGACAGAGAGAGAGAGACAGAGAGAGAGAGAGAGAGAGAGAGAGAGAGAGAGAGAGAGAGAGAGAGAGAGAGAGAGAGAGAGAGAGAGAGAGAGAGAGAGAGAGAGACAGAGAGAGACAGAGAGAGAGAGAGAGAGAGAGAGAGAGAGAGAGAGAGAGAGAGAGAGAGAGAGAGAGAGAGAGACAGAGAGAGAGAGAGAGAGAGAGAGAGACAGAGAGAGAGAGAGAGAGAGAGAGAGAGAGACAGAGAGAGAGACAGAGAGAGAGAGAGAGAGAGAGAGAGAGAGAGAGAGAGAGAGAGAGAGAGAGAGAGAGAGAGAGAGAGAGAGAGAGAGAGAGAGAGAGAGAGAGAGAGAGAGAGAGAGACAGAGAGAGAGACAGAGAGAGAGACAGAGAGAGAGAGACAGAGAGAGAGAGAGAGAGAGAGAGAGAGAGAGAGAGAGAGAGAGAGAGAGAGAGAGAGAGAGAGAGGAGAGAGAGAGAGAGAGAGAGAGAGAGAAGAGAGAGAGAGAGAGAGAGAGAGAGAGGAGAGAGAGAGAGAGAGAGAGAGAGAGAGAGAGAGAGAGAGAGAGAGAGAGAGAGAGAGAGAGAGAGAGAACAGAGAGAGAGAGAGAGAGAGAGAGAGAGAGAGAGAGAGAGAGAGAGGAGAGAGAGAGAGAGAGAGAGAGAGAGAGAGAGAGAGAGAGAGAGAGAGAGAGACAGAGAGAGAGAGACAGAGAGAGAGAGAGAGAGAGACAGAGAGAGAGAGACAGAGAGAGACAGAGAGAGACAGAGAGAGAAAGAGAGAGAGAGAGAGAGAGAAAGAGAGAGAGAGAAGGCACAATGAAGAAGGACGGGTAACGGTACAAGCTCAAAATGTGACAAGTGAACTCGCACAGCAGGAAGAGAGCACTTGCAGATCTAAATTTTACTCTACTGCCATGTGTTGGTAGGATTCGGGTTGTAACGACCCCCTCCGCTCTCCTCAATGCCCCACGGTAAAAGATGGTGGCGTTTGAGCAGTGTTGCTCTCCTTGCCCCCAACCCCCTTCCTCACGAACCCTGAAGTTAGTAGTGTTTCCGTCCCCCCCCCCCCCACACACACCTATAACCTTGAATGGGCTGAGTCTGGTCATGTAGGTTGTTTACCAACTAGAGCTGCTAATGTTCCCATTGTGCTGAGCACGCCCTAGACCTACTGGTAATAATATAACCTGAGTGCATTCCTAGCGGAAACAGGACAAATGAGCACTATTGTTATGATGAGCTTTGTTGACAGTAGAGCTCACTACAAACTGCCTTCACGAGCCTGTTAGCCTGCTGTGCAGCGTGTGACTCCATGCCCTGGCAACGCTAGCCCCCCCCCCCCCATCCCCCTCCTGCCCTGGGAACACTAAACCCCCTCCTGCCCTGATAACATAAGCCCTCCTGCCCTGGGAACATAACCCCTCCTGCCATGGGAACATAAGCCCTCCTACCCTTGGAACACTAGGCACCCTCGCTTATGATCAGCGATGCTTCAGCACTAAGCTATGGTGTAGTTGTCATCCCAGCAGCGACCACTCAATATTATAAGCAGACTTCGCAGCTCACGCAATCATGCGATGCTACACATGCTGGTGGGACTCATCCCTCACTATACCTTCATCGGGCATGTGAATGTGTGTGTGTGTGTGTGTGCGTGTGTGCGTGTGTGTGTGCATGTGTGTGTGTGTGTGTGTATGTGTAAAAAAAGACCAAAAAGTAGGGATTCACTGGCCAGAAAAAGCCCCTTCATAGCTGTGTGGTGTAGACCAGGCTGAATAGTGGCGGTCAATTCTTCAGCCTTGCAGTCTGTTGAATGGTGCAATCCCAGCACAAGCTGCCATGGCTTCTCCTGTAGCATCACTATCATCGCCTCCGGCGATGGGCGTCCAACGGTCAAATGGTGTGTGTGTGTGTGTGTGTGTGTGTGTGTGTGTGTGTGTGTGTGTGTGTGTGTGTGCGTGCGTGCATGTGTAAATGCATAACTCACTTTGACTGCTTCATGTGGTTCTGTCGATGGCTCCGCAACGTCCGCCTTTCCATTCTTGCCAGCCACTCCCAGAATACCAGGTCCTGTTGACGTTGGCGTGTTTGTTAGCGACCCATCACCGCTGCGGGTTGTGGAGGTGGAGTTGCAGTCACTTCGACGTTGATACCGGCGTCCTGTGCTGGAAAAGGACCGGCGCGACTGCAATTGCCCAACGGGTGTATGCGAATTGCTAGCCATTTCGACAGCTACACAACACGTGCCTACGTCACTGTGTTTGTGTGTGAGCGTGTGTGTGTATATATGCTCTGACAATCAACTGGGGTTTGTTGGAGCCACTGTTGATTACCGTTCGTGCAAGCAGCGTTCAGCGAGCTAGAAATCTCCTGCAAATCCTTTCTGGTCGAGTAGTATTTCGACGATGTGGTGACACTGTTGACGATATGGTGAAACCGTGTGCTGTTTCATGGGACGTTAGCTAGCGAGCTGGTGCTCCGTTAGCTAAGCTGAGCACGTTCACCGTCGACTCCAGGTCTTTTTCATGTATACAAACACACAGACGCACGCACGCAGGCGCTAGCGCTTAAGCATATCCGCAGTGCTGAGAGGACGCGGACTTGAACAGGTGACGAAATCAGCTAATCCACTTTCTGCTATTCACGTACGATACAACACTAGCACACGACAGAATGAGATGCCGGAGTCGAAAGGACGCTTTCCTCGCCCCAGTAGCTGCTGGCGGAGCACAGCTCCCACTACAGCGAGTGATGAGTCTGCTGATACAAAGCAAAATTAATTATTTCGTACCTTCCGTGTTTGTTCTGCTCTCGTTTTGGCTGAGAAGTGTGACGAGAATGCGCCACTGTAGTATCTCCAGAGCGTCAGTAAAGACTGAAGAGAGAGAAGAGAGAGTGAAGTGCATGGAAAACAACCGCGTCCTAGTCCAGTGCCTGCACTGAGCTGAGAGCTTCAGCAGCTATTTGCTGCAACAATAATCACAAAATAACAGCTCATTCCCAAAAATCTACATTCGTGTGATTTGCTACTTTTGACTTAGTCTTTACCGTGTTTACATCGTCACCTCCACCTCCAGGCTCCAGCTCCAACTCCAGCTCGACTACTTCAAGTAATTAGTTCAAGTCAAGGCCTTCACGTCCGGGCACGTGTTCGAAGCTGATCCCATGACTTTTTTTTTGATTGTGATACTGACTGTCAGTCAGGTTCTACATCGCCCCATAGTAGCCATACTGCCATAGAAAAAATGAAGCAAGACACAACGTCACAACAGTGTCAACACTGGTGTCACTATCACTAGTATCAGTGGAGTGCATGCAGCCGTGCAGGGCTAGCTGTCATTGTTACTACAGTCGTCCCTCTCTAATCCGGCACTTCAGCACCCTCGATAAACCAGCACAATTTTCAGTAGCCAAAATGTCCTCTTCATGCACATTGCAGCAGTAAATCAGATTTGTTAATCCAGCACCCTCCCTAATCCAGCAGATTTTCGTGGCACAAATGGTGCCGGATTATAGAGGGACCACTGTAGTAGTTTTGAAGGTCACGTGAATCGGTTGATAACTAACTTAAGTTACAGTCAACTTGAGTCAACTTCGCTTATAACGACACTCGGCGGGGCGTCAAAAAGGTGTCCTTATTCGCGAAGTGTCGTTATATCCGAAGTGTCATTATTTGTATTACAGTGGGATGGGACTTTGCTCTGGGCATGGAAATGCTGTCGTTATTCGCGAATTGTCCTTATATCCGCAATCGTTATTAGCGAAGTTGACTGTACTAGTACTTGATTATACCCATACATGCTGCTGCGTTCGCTCAGACTGAGCTCTGCAGAGGCTTTCGATAAAGTGCCGGGTGTTTCTCCAGCAACTCAGGACTACACTCTACACACAGACTACAGTCATAATCTGCAATGATCCGGCATTCCGGCTACGAGTTGGCTACCTCAATACACGTACATTCAGCGGCACGTCCGCGTTCAACACCATTCTGTCCTCCCCACATCCGGTCGAGTCTGAAGTATCCCAGGGGTCCCGGCATCTCGGACCATTGCTTTTCCTGGTGCATATCAACAGCATACCCAGTCACCCAGTGCCCAGTCTAATTTAAACGCAACCAGCACACTGATGTTTACCTGTTTTTGTTTTGTTTTTTTTTGTTTTTTTATTACTATTGACACAGCCCTACTGGAAAACAGGTGGAGAACAGAAAGAAACGAGGAAAAGGACAACACATAGGGGATGTAGGGACGACTTGCTGATGTGCCGGGAGCAACTCAACCGACCAGAGGTCTCGGCGTCAGCGTTGCAACTAGGCATCGAAAAATGGGTGGGGGGTTGCACAAGAACAACTGCAAAACAAACAGAAGCTAGAGGATACCACAAAAATAATAACTTGGTGCGAAATAATGAGAAGAAAATAATGACGCCCAAAAGCGCTAAATACGAAATTTTAAGAAAAAGGGAAATCATAAACCACATAGCGCTAAAGCTGCACCAAATAATAATTTAAATTATAACTAAACTGGGTGGAAAACCAAGAAATCATAACAAACAAAACAAACTAATAATAAAAGGTAAATGAAGCCCAATATCATCAGCATAGCCGAACCAAGGAACATGACCCGTGCCACAATCAAGAGTTCATCCGTAGAAGTCGGTAGCCATCAGCCAGTGTTGGTGCGTGAGGTACTTATGGACATCTTCTTTGAACATGTGGAGCCGCTTCAAGCTGAGTGGAGCCCGTACAATTTCGCTTGGCAAGCTGTTCCATACTGAGATGACAGAAAACGGGAAGGAGCGAGAAGCATAGGCAGGTGCTCTCCTGTCCAGGACTTGCTGCAGCTGCACATGATGCTGCTGGCCAGGAGGGGGTTGACTCCGGGTGCGCCGAGCTTCTACATGGTTGGCTGGAGGGGGGATCATGGCGGTGAGCTGGGGTGGTCCTGGGATGCACTGGAGCTTGTACAGGTATACCAGCCCAGATACAATCCGGCGGTGGCACAGGCTTTGGAGAAGGGCACCAGGGCCAATAATGGCCATTGCACGCTTCTGCACACGGTCGAGTCGGGCGAGGTGGCTGGATGCAGCTCCCATCCACACAAGGGGAGCATACTCAAGGATAGGTCGCACAAATCCCTTGTACGCACAAAGCCGGCCATGGTAATCTAACACACGGCAAGCCCGACGGAGAACACCCAGTCTCTGGCAGCCACGTGTCGCAATCGAGTGCAAGTGATCCCGGAATGACAGCTTGGCGTCAAATGTCACTCCAAGAAGCTTGATAGTGTTGGCTTCCGGAACCTCGATACCTCCAAACTTGATGTCCGGGACAGCAGGGTGTGTGGCTTTCGTAGTCATCAGCAGCTGTTGCGATTTAGAGGGCTCGAATCTGATGCGCCAGCGTTCTCCCCACTCTTCAAGATGCTTGAGGCTGGATTGCAAGGCGGCAGTCATGTCATTCATATTGTCCTGCGTGCGGATGAGGCTGTAGAGGGTCGTGTCGTCTGCAAAGGAACTTAGTCGTGTCTCGGGAGACAGGCACTGATCCAGGTCAGACACATACAAGAGGAAAAATGTCGGGCCAAGGATACTGCCTTGGGGCACATCTGCTGTTATGGGCGCCGGGGAGGATGAGTCGCCGTGGACCAGGACTGATAGTTTGCGGTTCAGGAGGTAATCCTGCAGCCAGTGCAGCAGGCAGCCACCAATGCCAACGTTCTTGGCTTTGAAAATCAGTCCAGAGTGTGATACCCGATCAAATGCTCCTGCTATGTCCACCGCCACCATGTGAGCGTACCTTCCATCGCTGACAGTCTTGACCCACTCAGTGTGCAAAGCAGTGAGGATGTCGCGCGTGCCTCTTCCTTGCCGAAAGCCATATTGACTAACGGGCAGAATATTGAAACGCTCCAGAAATTCACGAGCTGCTTGTTTACTATACTCTCCATTACTTTTGACAGGATGGATAGTAGTGAGACTGGGATGCACAATGAGTGTAGTGGTGGCCACCTCGCTACTGAACGTACTCTAGAGAAGGTGAAAGCTAGATTCTATTGGCCTTTTATGTCGTCTGACATTGAGCTGCATTGCAAGGCGTGTGCGCTTTGTTCAGCTAGGCGTACCCCAGCACCAACCGCTCGCGCTCCGATGAAGGTGGACCAACCATCATTTCCGCTGCAACGTGTCGCTATGGACATCATGGGACCACTGCCCAGAACAAATCGAGGTAACCTCTACATTGTTGTGATTACTGATTATTTCACGAAGTGGGTAGAAGCGTTTGCCATCCCGGATATGACTGCTAGGACAATAGCTTCGGCACTGATTGATGGTTTCATTTGTCGCTACGGTGTGCCACTGTCTATCCACACTGATCAAGGTGCGCAATTTGAGTCAAATTTGTTCAAATCCATCTGTGAACTGTTAGATATGAAGAAGACACGCACGACTCCATATCATCCTTCTAGTGATGGTTTAGTTGAACGGATGAATCGTACACTTGAGAACATGCTGAGTGCCAGAGTCAATGCCAATCACAATGACTGGGATCTGCATATTCAACGCTGTTTACTGGCGTATCGTAGTAGCGTACATAGTTCAACCAAGGAAACCCCAGCTAGATTGATGTTCGGCAGAGAGCTTAAGTTGCCAGTGGATATTATGTTTAACGACTCCAGAGAACATGTCAAATCTGTACCTGACTATATGATTGGTCTCGAGATCTCCTTGCAGCAGGCATTCTCTCACGCTCGATCAGCTGGCGCTAAGGCACAGAAACGTCAGAAGGACTACTATGATGCAAAGACGACCAAGCCACGGTTTGCGATCAATGACAAGGTGCGCTTACACAACCCAGCTGTGAAAGCAGGCAACACAAAGAAGTTCCTCAAGCCATGGACCGGGCCGTATCGAGTTGTCGAGGTGATCGATGACGTGGTGTACAGGATTGAGCACTGTGATACAGGGAAACTCCAGGTGGTGCACATCAACCGGCTCAAGTCAACGACTCAAGTACCGGAGGAGCAGCACGCTCCAGTGCCAGCACACCTACCTCAACCGGCGCTAATTGATTACGTGCAAGACGCAGTTCCGGCTGTTCCGGTTCCGGCAGTTCCGGTTATTCCAGTTCCGGCAGTTCCAGCTGTTCCAGTTCCGGCTGTTCCAGTCCCGGCTGTTCCGGCAGCTCCCGTTGTGCCGGCCGTTCCGATCATGCCACAGGCAGGTGGGTATAACTTACGCAATCGGGCAAATCTCCAGAGGCCGGTGCGATACCGTCAATGAGAGCCAAGAACAATTGATATGTACAATTTTCTCGTGAAGATTTGAGAGATTGAGATTTGAGTTTTTTTTAGATATATAGTGTTGGGTTGGCATTTAACACACAGTTTATATAGCTTCTTCCTTGGGTTCTTTCGTTTCATTATTTTTATTTTTACAATATTCACCTTATCACGAGGACGTGATTCAATCTGGGAGGGGGCCATGTAGAGCATGCAGATTCTTCAACCTTGTACCTGTTGCATTGTAGTCTAGTGCCTGTGTCACTGTAGCTTGGTGTGTTAAAACCTGTACAGTAATAGGACTAGTATCCTTTGCATGTGAAGTTCGAACCTACCTTTTTCAGAAGCTTTCCTTTTTTCTTTACTTTCTTCCAATACATGTCTTCTGATTGGCCGAATCTGTGCCATCTCTCTATCTCCTGATTGGTCTAAACCGTTGCTCGTTGTTATGTGAAACCTGAACTCTCTTAGTCTTGGCACATATAAAAAGCTCTGTCTCTGAAGAAAGATCATCCTTCATTTCTTCAAACTTCTCCTTGCTCTGGTGAGACTTGTTGGTTGTTGTGTGCCCAACCACTTGGGCCACGCTACACTTGAACAGGTGACGAAATCAGCTAATCCACTTTCTGCTATTCACGTACGATACAACACTAGCACACGACAGAATGAGATGCCGGAGTCGAAAGGACGCTTTCCTCGCCCCAGTAGCTGCTGGCGGAGCACAGCTCCCACTACAGCGAGTGATGAGTCTGCTGATACAAAGCAAAATTAATTATTTCGTACCTTCCGTGTTTGTTCTGCTCTCGTTTTGGC